TCCCATAAATATAGTATGTTTCATTTGCAGAATGAAAACATGATCTTTGCACAATTCCTCTGATAGCTGATTGCAAAATAATGCACTAAACATTTCTTAGAAAAAATTAGCTCCTTCCTTCCTTCCTTCCTTTCTCCTTCCCTCCCTCCCTCCTTCCCTTCCAATTACTGAATTTGGATTTAAGACCTGAATCTGGATTAAGGACAGTGGTGAAATTAAATTTTTTTTACTACCAGTTCTGTGAGTGTGGCTTGTTGCACGTGGCAGGGGAAGGATACTACAAAATCACTATTCCCACCCCACTCTGGGGCCAGCCAGAGGTGGTATTTGCCATTTCTCCGAACTACTCAAAGTGTCTGCTACCGGTTCTTCAGAACCTGTCAGAACCTGCTGAATTTCACCCCTGATTTAGGATCTAATGTGGTTAAGACAGAAAAAAGAGTAGAGTGAAGAACCTAAACCCTGAATTGGGGTATGTATTTCTTTTGCTATCTGTTTCGTTTACCTATTAAACATATTCTTCCTAAGTAGTGGTATCAGTATCATTTGGATCTCCTTTAAATGTAATGTATAATATAATAGTGGATCTCTTTGCACCGTTTCTCACTTCTAGCAGCTCTGATCACCAAATCTCTCAGACAAAGTTTATTCAGTCCAAGAAGTCTATGAGAAAGGAGTCTTCGAGTTCACAAGCAGACCATCCTCTGATTATGATTTTTTTTTCCTTTGTGGAAATGTGATACATGCAGAATAAGATCCAGTGGTTTTAAAGAGCAGCTGCCTTAAAGCAGGGAACAATTGATTTCTCTTATTTAGGACAAAGAACCTCCCAGAAAGTTTGGAAATATCCCTCAAAATGAATGAGATGAAAGTATAAGAAAGAGGATTTTGACTGAGAACTGAAAAGAGCCAGAATGTCTGCAGGAGTTAAGAAAAGTCAATGCTAAATCTTAGTGGTTTGTGGGACGGGTTTTGGAATTGACAATGCAGATACTGAAGTGATAAATAGCTGCTGACTAGCTGATAGGATCAACTAACAAGTTAAGAAACAAGCAGTGAAGAAATATGCTGTAGACCAGCACTAGATAGAGCAGCTATGAAGATCTTGACAAAGATATTGAGATGTGTCTACTATAAAGATCAGAATCATGCAAGCAATGTTTTCCATGTGGCATTCTATGAAAAGTTGGACTTTGATAATAGTGCTGAAGCTTTTGAATTTTTGTGTTGGAGAAGATCCTGAAAATACTGTGGACAGCCAAGAAAACAAACAAATGGACCATTGGATAAATCTACTTAAGAGTTCCCACTCAAGGTTAAATGATTGCGCTCAGTTTAGGTCCTTAGGTGAAGACCTAGTTCTCTGGAGAAGGATGTGATGCTGGGAAAGTTGGAAAAAAAAGAAAAGAGAATAATAATAATTAAAAAAAACAAAGTGGATAGACTCAGTTACAGTAGCAAAATGGCATTGGGGATTAGGTTGGAAAATCTAAAGCATGGCTGTTAAACTCCCGGCTGGTAGGCCAGATGTATCATGCACCGGCCACACCCATTCCCAGTTTAGTGAAGGGGGGAAAAGTCCTTGATATGTCACATGACTCTGCTATGATGTGGGTTTGACACCTCTGATCTAAAGGATCAATTTGGGGTCATATAGCCACGGGAAAAATATATGTGGCTGCTCTAAGAGTTGACACCAGATTGGATGACACATAAAATCAATCTTTATGGGCATTATGGTGACTTTTTAAAAGTTTTGTTGAAATAATACAGTGCAGGTTTTAAAAAGATGTATTAACCACCTGGAGATCTCTTATTGGAATGTGTAACATGGTTTATTGTTGGAACTGATTGTTCCCTAATTTGGAAAATACACAACTTGTTTGTTTATAGATAGAATAACAGTGAATGGAATTGAAAAATAAAAAAAGCAGAGCAGAGCTCACATAAAAGGATTACGGTATCTTCTTTTAAATAGCTTGTTGCAACTTCGATTGGGCAATAACTGTTATGTACAAATTGGATTCTTCTTTTGGGTGATGAACTCTCACAGTTTCAGTCTCAATAAAGTAAATGACTTTCTTACTGGAAACCAAGTCAAATCTTTTTACTATTTTTTTTCCCATGGTTTTTTTTTTATAAAGTAGTTCAGATATGTGTTGAGATTAGCTCATAGATGTGAAGCAAAGAGAGAAATCTCTTCATCAGTTTTCAGAATCTATATAATCCACTCAATTGTTTTATTTTTTTTAAAGAAAACATTTTATCAGTTGCAAACAATTCACATCCAAGATTCCTGTTAAATTGCAAAGAAATAAAGGGGTTCCATATAATAGCGGTGCAGCCATTTCAGTATTTCTGTATCACACTGTCAATTTCTTGAGAAATGTGGGTCCGTGGTGTGAATGTGTGGGGATTGTAGAATTATATTTTTTAGCTGGTTCTGGTTTTTAACTTTTTGATCATTTTATTCTCTTTGCTTATATTTAATTTTTGTTTGTAGAAAATGCCTCGGCAATCCCATTTAGGGACCAAATGATATTATCAATAATTAAAACTATTTGAAAGGGCCATGAAATGATCCTGCTGCTTTTTCTGGCAATTACACTGAGTGCCTAGTGCAAACCTTATACAAACCAATTTTCCGCAGCAGGTAGCTTTTTTTTTTTTTTTAATTTTCCAGTCTTTTTTGTGGTTGTTTTCTTTTCCTTTTTGTGCTATGTTAAAGTTATGGCAGATAAAAGGTTTGTAATTTTTATACTGAAAAGATTAAATTAATAATTATAACGGGGTGGGCAGGATCTGGGGATTTAAAGGGAACAGTGCTGATTAGTAGACAGAGAAATCCAGAGGCTTTCTTCATTTGAAGATATTTCCACATATCATTTCCCCCCTGATGGATGTATTCATAAAGGTAATCCTCAACTTACTACCATTTGTTTAGTTACAAAATCAAAGTTACAACAGTATTGGAAAAAACGTAACTTATGACCGTTTTTCAGACTTATGACTGTTGCAGCAGCCCCATGGTCACATGATCAAAATTTGGATGCTAGGCAGGCAACTGGTTCATATTTATGATGGTTGCAGTGGCATGGGGCCATGTGGTTTCTTTTTGAGAACTTCTGATAAGCAAAGTCAATGGGGAAGCCAGATTCGCTTAACAGTTTCGGTGATTTACTTAACATCTGTGGCAAGAAAGAACATAATCCGGGGCAAAGCTTACTTAACAACTGTCTTGCTTAGCCATAGACATTTTTGGCTCAATTGTGGTCATTTGAGGTCATAGGTCGAGGACTACCTGTACAATATATTTAACCTAATTACTGAATTATCATTTATGATGATAATGATAAATGATGATGATAAATGAAATGATAATGATAATTACTGAATTAATCAATGTTCTTGTTCTTCCAATACATTTAACCATAAATTAACTAAACAGGCTGGGCTCACCTAACATAGTATATTGGAAAAAGAATGTAATCACAATAAACACTAAACAAGCTTAGCATGGTGTGTGAATGCACGGTTAAATCTTTTCATAGTTAAATTTGTTGGAATTATGACTTTTAGAATTCTCATCTAGCCTGGTCAAAATTGGTGGCCTTTGCAAAGTTTTCACTTTAGTATCTTCTACTACTGCAGTCTGAAACATGGTAACAAGCCTTGTTACAACCAGTTGGGATTATTGCTAGGCAGGTGTTTTAGGGATTGCAATCTTTATATAACTGAACGGAATAGTCTTTTGGGGAAACATGTTTCTAATGGACAGGATTTGGGGAGCAACGTATTTATTATAACTAGCGTTGCCTGGGCATTTATTTATAGGGGGGGGGGGGGAATGTCTGGCCCAAATGTAATTTCGAATGTTGGATTGTCCCCCTTACCAGAGGGAGCCCCCTTGTGGAGTACTGTGAAGCCATTACCATGGCAAACCAACTGAGCCATACAGTAGAAGCCATTTTACAGCAGTACGGTAGAAGTCATTTTAAGGCACAACAGGCTGTATCTTAACAGAATACACCCCCTGAGGGTTGTTAGGGGTATCTTACCAACACAGATTTTTTTTCCAGAGAGTAAGTCATCTGTGTACCAAGTTTGGTTAAAATTGCTCAAGGTGTTCCAGAGTTATGCTGGAACATACATACACACATAGACAGATATATATATACGAAATCTATGAAAACAAATATATATACATGTTTGTGTGTGTATTTTCATCTCTTTTCATCTAAATCCGGCCCTGGCTGCCAGTGTTGGGATGCCCCCCCTCCCGCCAGCCGGCTGGTCTTTGGGTCTCTGCTGCGCATGTG